TGAATAGTTCTCTATGATGGATTGCAAGAGAAGAAAATTATTTGGGTTTAAGGTTTGTGTTCTTAAGTATTTATTTGAGCAAAAAATTATTTATTTATCTAACTTTTTTTTTTGTTCATATCAGAAATAAATGCAAGCAAAAGTCATAGAGAACATCTTTTTTTGTTAGGAGAAAAGAGTTTCTCATGTATTTGATCTTCCCCGTAATATCAAGAAATTGAAGATCCAACATATGATTTTCATGGACAATTAATTTTTCCTGTATAAAAAATGTAATATTCTGGATGAATATTATAGTTTGTAAACAAATTATTTTATGAATGTTATGTGTAAACAATGTAACGAGTTTTATTATAAAAAAAACTAATAACCTCTCGGTTTTCTTAATAAACTGAGATAAAAAAAGCACTAGTTTTTGTAAATAATAAAGTGCATAAGCGGGGGTTCGAACCCATGCGCTAATAAATTTAACCCCGGTATTTTAAATACCTAGGTAATAAGTCTTTAATTTTTATGACGACCTTATTTATCTCGTTTCTAATGCCGAGGTAAAACGCATTAAACGTCTGACGTTAGATGTCTTATTTGTAGTAGTGTAAATGATTGTCTTCAATCAATAGGTTGATGTGTAGTTCGATAAGAAAGTAAAAGATTGTCTTCAACAAACTGGTTGATGTGTATATCGATAGGCGATGACTTTGTGGTAAGTGTACTAATAGTGTCGAAGTAATAATAAAAAAAACCGTCTCCACGAAGATTGTAATTTAACAATGTAATTATATGCGAATTAAAATAATAATAATTGGGAGATTTTTTTATTTTATCTAGTTGAAAAACAAGAACAAGAAAATTAAAAATAAAATTCAAGATGAGAAAATCAATTAGATTTTTTATATCAAATCCCCTTATTTTATCTATTGATGAACTTTGTATTTATTGAGTTTTAATTAATTATTATCTCATTATGAACTAACAAGATCACTATGTCCAATTTTGTGACGTGCAACTCACTAATTTATATGATAATTTTTTAATTTTTTATGACAATTCAAAATTAAATTAAATGTTTTAAGTGTTAATTCAAAAACAAAATTAAATTAAATGTTTTAAGTGTTAATTCAAAAACAACAATTTTTAATAAACCACAATAAGGAAAAAAAGAAGATAAAATATTTGAGTAGAGAAATTTTGTTTATGTAATTCAATTAAATTAATCCACCATTAGCGATAGACCAGATCTCCTATCCATTATATCTCATAAGTTATTACAAGATATTATAAGAGAGTTATGAAAAAATAACCTATAAGATTAAAAATAAAATAGATACTATAAATATTAATATAATTAGTGATAAATAATACAAAATATCAGATCGACCATTGACTATTAATATTAACAAAGTGAGATCCTCTTTCGTATTATACAAAATATATTAATAAATGAAACACCATCACATGTATAAATATCACAAAAACAATTATTCACGTGATCAATCACATAATGAAACATGTTATTTCATAACATATGGTACAATGTAATTTAGAAAGTTCCTTTACTTCTCAAATAGTTATCACTCACCATACTAATATCTAACCCAGGTTTTTCCTAATTTTCAACTAATAATAATTACTTAATTAAAACAAATTTCATACCCATACTTGAACTCAATATTGCGAGACTCATGAATCTATATAGACTGGTGAATAGTTCAGACTTAACTCAGAATTTTAAGAGTCTATAAAAAAATATTTTATAAAAACATGTAAAAGATAGTTGTACATAATAAAACACCAAGTAACATAAAAAATTTAATTTAATATTCATAATAAATTTTTTAGTGAAAACAATTCCATAATAAAACAATCAAAAGTAGCAAATAGAATTAACTATTAATCTAATCTGATCAGAGTTGAACCGTTACAGTTGGTTTTGGGCTGAGCTTAAATGAGATGGAGGGTACCTGCAAGACACTCCGATGGCAAAGTGAGAAGCGGAATGAGCAAGCAAGTATGAGTTTAAGTGTGAATGAATGAATATCTGACCCTCTCATGAGAGAGAGTATTTATAGCCCCCAGCGTTGGGCCAAGGTCCACACTATTGGGTCACGCAGAGGCCCAATAACGGGAACTGCCGGGGTTTACGTGAGTATGGAGTCCAGCAAGTGGACCCCCCTCCTGGTCAACTGCTCCGCAAGAATAGGACTGGACCCGAGATTCCCAGAGGGCAGTTTGGTATGTCTGTTGAGAGGTGGTGCGCCACGTCCCCCAACGGTTGGATGGGGAGGTGCCCCACAATCCCTAACTTGGGTTGTCTTTGGGTCTTTCGCTCGTAGGGAAAATGTAGGCCCAGTCCAGATCAAGAGCCCCCAAGTTATTGTCCTCGAGTTAGAGGGCGATGACTTGAGTTTAGCTCTCGCTACCGAAGGCCTGGTCGAGGTAGAGGGTCGAAATCCCCGAAGGGAGCAGATCGTTGCCTGCGGGGGGCCGGCTCAAATACGTAGGGGAATATCATTGACGGACGGTGATCAGGACCGGAAGGTTCAACCGCTTGCTCGAGAGGGAATATTGGCGGTGAGGGGCCTTTGCGAGGTTCCCTTTGACATGCACGTCTCCTGGGAGTTGTTAGTTTGTCGAGCATTTCCTCGTCTTCAAGGTGGTTAAATGGATGTGCTCATTCGCGCACTCTAGTGCCGAGCACTTCCTCGTGTAAGTGTTTGCCCCCTACGTTTATGGATGACTAGTAGGGGTCGGGCGTTTGCTCGCCAGTCCAGAAAGGATTTTGTATTTGATGGTTGAGCCACGTGGCTAGTGCTTTGGGGTGCCAGCCCTTCAAGGAAAAAGAAAAAGGGGCCAATGAGGTGATGACCCTTCATGTGGGATCCCTTGGGGCGTGGGTCGCCTATAAAAAGGGGGCCCTTGAGATTCATTTGTCATCTTCTCAAGCTCCCTCTCAATCTTTCCTTTGCTCGTGACGTGAAGCGGTTCTCTCAACCTCTTAGCTTTTCTTCGCTTTTGGCGTGAGGCGATCCTCTCCACTTTCCAGTTTTTTCCTCAACGTTCTTCATCCAAGTAAGTTATAACCTCTCAACATTATGTTTCTTGGGCTTTTCTGGATTAAATGTCAAAAATTTCTCTTGATTGGATGAACATCCATGAATTTTGTGATGAATGTTCATGAATGTTCATCTGAATTCATGGGTTTCTTATCGAGCACTCATGAAGATATCGGGCACCTATGGACAAACATTCATGAGTTTCATGAATATTCACGAATGTTCATCTGGGTTCATAATATTCACGAATGTTCATCTAGGTTCACGGGTTCTGTGTCGAGCACTCGTGAATGTGTCGGGCACCTATGAACATTCACGTTATAGTGTCGGGGGGAATCCTTAGGTTAGTATGTATCAGAGTTTATGCTCGGTGAACTATTCCCCGACTACATGTCCTCGGATTGAATTGGTATGCTATAGCATAGAAGTGAAATGAGCAAGCAAGTATGACTTTAGGTGTGAATGAATGAATACCTGACTCTCTCATGAGAGAGGGTATTTATAGCCCCCAGCGATGGGTCAAGGTCCCCACTATTGGGCCACGCAGAGTCCTAATAACGGGAACTGGCAAGGTTTACGTTAGTATGAAGTCCAACAAGTGGACCCTCTCATGATCAACTGCTCCGCGAGAATAGAGTTAGACCCGAGATTTCCAGAGGACAGTTTGGTATGTCTGTTGAGAGGTGGTGGGCCACGTCCCCCAACGGTTGGATGGGAAAGTGCCCCACAATCCTTAACTTTAGTTGTCTTTGAGTCTTTCGTTCGTAGGACAAGTGTAGGCCTAATCCAGATCAACTATTAAAAACAAATGGAATAAATAGACATTACTTTAGTGCACAAAGCAATAAAAAGACAAAAAATTGTATTTTTGTGTGGAGAATGAAGATAAAAAAAACAATAAAGCATATCACTCACAAACAATAATTGTGAGTTGCACAAACAATAAGCACTCAGAGCACATTCAATAGAACAACAAAATAAATAAAAATCAATGCAAATAAAAAGCAACAAAATGAAAGAGAAATGGAAATCAATAAAAATCATATATCATCATATATCATGAAACACGACATAAAACAAAGAATAGATAATGAAACTGAAAACAAATTAGAGGAGTAAACAAAATTATACAAGAGATGTGTGTGTGGGAACATTAGATGGCAATAAATTGCAGTGTGATCCAAAAGTGATATAATAACCATGTAGTGTGAGCACTGGATAACATGAATATTTGTTCACTACTAAAAAAAAGACATTTGAGAAAAGGTTTTTACATCGGGTATCAAAATATATGATATAAAAAATACAACTAACAAACTTTTTACATCAGGTATTTATTTGCAATGATATAAAAAATATGAAAAAAAATATATTTCGCTACCTATTACATCGGGCAAACGCATCCATCGATGTCAAAAGTTTTCAGAAAAAAATACGGTGGCATTTTTTTAAATAAGAAACAAGGTAGTAGAAATATTAAAAAAAAACATGCAACATATTACATCGGTTGACTAAAAACCGATGTAATATCTTCAACAGATATTAATTTAAAAAATAAATTCAAGAATAAAATAATTTTTTCGCAACTTATTACATCGGTTGAAGTATAAACCGATGTAAAAAAGCCAGAAAATCAGCTTGCATCGGCTATTACAATGGACCGATGTAAAAAAGCCAAAACCCTTACATCGGTTGTAAGGTTCCACCGATGTAATAGGTTGTCCACTAAGCCAACCCTTACATCGGTTATGCCTTTCCACCGAGGTAATAGCTTCACAAATTTCACAAACCCTTATTTCACAAATTTCAGTATTTCCACTGTATAATATTCTCCTTGGCCGCCGTTTCCACTCTACGCTCACGCTCACGACCCAACCACCGCCGTTTCACTCCTTGCCACTGTACGCTCACGCTCACGACCCAACCACCTCCGTTTCCCAGCCACCATCATCGACCGCCGTTTTCGAAGGTTTTCGACCACCGTTTCTGTTCGTTTTTCCGCCGTTTCCGAAGGTTTTTTCCGCCGTTTCGACCGCCGTTTCCGGTCTTCCTCTTTGACCTCCGTTTTCGGTCGTCCTCTTCGACCGCGGCCGTTTCCGGTCTTCCTCTTCGACCGCGGTTTCCGGTCGTCCTCTTCGACCGCGGTGGTTTCCGTTCGTGTTCAGGTTCCATGGATTTCGCCGCCGTGAGTTTACGGCGTTGCGTTGTTAAATTTTTTCAAATCTTTTTAGAGAAGCATTGATGAAAAAATAAAATGGGGGTTTACTTTCCTGAGGAGGTATTCTTTTTTATATTTTGACTTTCATCAATTTAGGAATTTTGCTAAATGTTTTGGTTGCTAACATTGGAAGTGTTTGACATGGCTCAGAAAATCTGCAAATGGATTACTCAAATATTGTTGGTTGTAGAACACCTGCGTTCAAAATTTGTTTTACATCGTGACCTAAAGGTATAACATGAATGAAAAAACTACATGACATTTATTCTTTTTGAATTCCACTTGAGAGTATACCATGTTAAGTTTTGTCAAACTTTGATGACAGTGTTCTAACATCTTTCTCACCAAGGATCACGATGTTTGCCTGGGTGACTTCATATACCAATTTTTGTTTACATTGCACATAAATGATTGATTAATTCTTCATCCTTAATTTTTCTTTAATTTCCTAATATTTATATAGGGGATTTTGGACTTTCTAAGATACTAAAAGCTGATGATTTGACTTCTTCAGTACATGTGAAATTACGAAATTGTTGCTTTCTTCTTTGACTTCTATGCTTTCTTCTATATATATTGAAGATATGTATGTGAATTTAAGTGTTGTAAATATTTGTTTGCAGGTCGTAGGAACTTCCAACTACATGTGCCCTAAAATGTTTGCCGATATTCCTTATGGATTCAAATCTGATATTTGGTCACTAGGTAATTTTTTCTTCCTGTTTTATGACTATCTGATATCTGTTTTGCTGCAGTTCAAATACTAAAACTTTTTTGTACATGGTGTTGTATACATGAGATGACTGCTCAACGCCCTGCTTTCAAAGATTTTGTAAGATATTTTATATTTTCACTTGGTACATTATAGACAATAGACACGCCAGAACTTTGTCATTCATTTAGTGCACAATATGATTTTTTCGTTCAACGTATCAATTATAGATAATAGACATGCCACAACAAGTCATATATGAATATATCTAATTTTTTCATTCAAGTCAGCAAAGTATAATTTTTATTATGCAACAGAAAATGCAAGGTATCAATTTTCATAAATGGTCCAGAAGGAATAAAATTATATAACTTTCTTTTATTGAGTATTCCCATAACTAATGTTATGAATTGAGTTTTAGATTTATCAACTACTCATGAATTGGGCATAATTTGTTTCTTGATATAGCATGTTGCGACAATGAGCTCTGACTACTCATGAATTATGCATAATTTATTCAATATGTAAGAATGGAAAGCTCTGCTTCTGATGGAACAATATTATGCTATCAAATGCCCTTCAACATCTTATCATTTAGTTGGCACCAGGAGATTGAAAACAAACTTTCAAAGCTTAATGTATAATGGTTATTTTAGTCATATGTTTTAAAAGCAGTTTGATCAATTCAAATCAAATATTTTATGAATATTATTCAAGACTACTTAAATGTTATGTTCCTAATTGCAGATCTATGAATATCAAGAAATGAAGCATCTTGATTTTATTGAATTTTATGATGTGCTAGCTGCTGAAGCTGCACTTTGGCCATTGAACCAGATTGGATTTGCTGGAAAGAAGATCAAGCTTGCACCTGACCATCCTTTCTGTTGAAATAATAATTCACTATTAGAAAAATATGTGTATATATTTATGAGAATGATTTGGCTACTGATAAGGTATGAATGAACTCATTTGAAACACTTTGTTTTGCTTTGCTTAAATAGTTTAGTATAATTTTATATAGATATATTTTTTTACTTTGTGGAGGACAGTTTTGATCAGGATCTATTTCCATGTGTCCATGTTGTTGTTTGTATTTTACACACAAGGCGGAACTATTTCCTTTTGTGTTACAATATTATAGGTATGTCTTTTATGCAATAAGTGAGTTTACTTGATTTAATGATACACTGAACTACTACTGAAATATATAGTGAAATTGGTTAATGTTAGATTGATATGCTATTGACATATATATTGAAATTGGTTTAGTGATACACCGAATGATTTTAATTGCATATTAAAATTGAATACTAAACTGCTACAAGAATATATTCCGAATGAGTTTAATTGGATGCTGAACCGCTACTAGAATATATATTGTTGTTGCTATTGAATATTGAATGAGTTTAATTGGTACTACATTAACTACTCCTATGCATTGCCTTGCTATTGCTATTGAATGTGTACTGCTATTAAATATTGAATGATATTGCTACTGGAATATATAATGCTAAATGAGTTTAATTGCTAGCAATAATATGCTTTAATTCTTAGCAATAATATGTGAAAATGTGTCAGGAATGTATACCCACACGTATTGTCTCGCGGAGGGTATCGCTTACTTGAGGAGAAAATTATAAAAGAAAAGTCATCATCGAGAGATAATTCCACATTAGATGATAATGATAGTCCATCTCCACCATCACGCCATGAGTTATGGAAGAGAGCACGACAAAAGAAAGGAGGAGAATACACATCAAAATCTACACAAGAGGTTGCTGAAAAAATTGTAAGTAAACAACGAAAAAATATTCAAGTATCATTATATTTGTGATTGATTAATTGATGTTTTTGCATTTTGTAGGATTCTCTAGTTCAAGAAGCTGAAAAAGGTGCAATTGTTCCGGATGGACGTAACGATATCTTATCATTAGCCATTGGAACATCTGAGCATGGAGGTCGTGTTCGTGGTGTTGGAAAACACCATAAACAAAGCACTTACTTTGGAAGATCACGTCAACATATCGACGTAAATGAACAACTTGTAATATTGGAAACAAAACTTAGAGCTGAACTTGAAGAAAAGTTGGTTGAAGAGCGTAAGATGTTTCAACAATCATTAATGGAGACACTTAAGTCCATGGGTTTATCACAAAGCACAGGTGATAATAAATGCATTGAAAAATTGGAAATTATCGATGGAAGCGGAAAAGGAAGTTGTTCAGCTGCAAAGGGAAGCACAAAAGACGTGGAAGTTGATGGTGTTCAGAGATTGTTACTCATGGTTTTGAAAATGGATGATAACCATTTGGCAATACAATTAAGTCATTGTGCGAGTGTCTCTAATTTCTATGTTTCAGCTAAATGTATCAGAGAGTTATTGGTGGGTTTAGGTCATTGGCTTGACGTGTCTATTCTGCAAATTTGGTGCACGTAAGTACATTTTATTGTTTTATTAAAGTCATTTTATATTGGTAATTTAAGTTTGGAAACTTATAAATAGTTGAATATTTTTGTATATTTTGTGAATAATATGTAATTGTATGTTTTGAAAAAAGACTTATAAATAGTTGAATATTGTTGTATATTTTGTGAAAAATTTGTAATTGTAAGTTTGTTTGTTGTAATACAATACAAGTTTGCAATACAATTGTTCAATTTGTAAGTTTGTTGTAAAAAATAATGAAACATCGACCTAGATGTGATATATGTGATGTTGGAAAGCTATGAAATCTATATAGCAACATAAATATAGTCTGTGTGATATTGGAAAAATATGAAAAAATGGGTACAAATTATATTTGTACAGGGAAACATCCAGAAAATAAATAATCTATTCCAAAAAAATTTCATACATTTTACATCGGTTATTAGTAAAAACTGATGTAAAAACATTCAAAAAGGGACTTTTTACATCGGTTGGGGATAATAACCGATGTAAAAAGTCGCGTCATTGGGGACTTTTTACATCCGGTATTACTTCCAACCGATGTAAAAAACTGGATCAATTTTTTAAAAAAATGTGCATAATAACTGTTTCTTACATCGGTTCATATATTATAACCGATGTAAAAAAGGGACTTTTTATATCGGGTATTACTTTCAACCGATGTAAAAAACTGAATCAATTTTTTAAAAAATGTGCATAATAACAGGTTATTACATCGGTTCTGATATTATAACCGATGTAAAAAAGGGACTTTTTACATCGGTCCCAGAACCGATGTAAAAAGTCCTTGATTTACTATATCGCCTGACTTTACATCGGACCCAGAACCGATGTAAAAAGTCAATTTCACCCGATGTAAAAAGTCATTTATGTACTAGTGGTTGTTCTTATGGTATTTCTAACATATAAAATATAAAGGAAGCAATGAGAGAGATCTTATAACTTCTTTTTAGAGATTTTTTTCATGAAATAGTGAGACCCGACATGTTTTGATATTTTCCCTCCAACGTCACACAATCTGGTAAACTCACATACTCAATATTACATCATATACACCATTGTTCCTCTCGATTCAATTGAATCCTTTTCTTTTACAATTTCTTCAAATAAGATATAAAATGTCAAGAACAACATGACATGTTTTCTCTTCTAATAAGATCGGGTTCATCCAAATGCAGCAAATCACGCGTTAACAACAACTCATCAAAATTTATCTTACATGCACATCATTAGATGCATACAAAGTTAAAAGGTAGTTAATGATAAGATACTTGTATTCATTTATATTTTTTCAGAGTTCAAATCTTATAGAGAAAATATTACAGTCTTACACACTCTTACCGATGGATATTCAAAATTAAATCGGTCTAATAGAAAATCGTAAAACTGAACCGAACTAAATCAAAATTATAAAAAATATTTAGTTCGGATGTGTTTGAGTTATTTTCTAACGGAATCGTGTGATTTGATTTGATTTGCGATTTATATGTTACAAACTGAACCAAACCAAACAAATATATATATATATATATATATATATATATATATATATATATATATATATATATATATATATATATATATATATATATATATATATATATATATATATATATATATATATATATATATATATATATATATATATATATATATATATATATATATATATATATATATATATATATATATATATATATATATATATATATATATATATATATATATATATATATATATATATATATATATATATATATATATATATATATATATATATATATATTTGT